TCTCTGGACATGCATCCAAGTAAGTTCTATATATTAATAATAGTTCAGTCCTTTTTATTGCTAAGTAGTATTACATGGTATGGATTTACCATATTTTGTTAATCATTCACATTAACCATTCTCAGAAGAGCATGTTGGTTGTTTTCAGTTTTTCACTATTACAAAGGAAGCTGCTATGAATATGTAAATACAGATTTTTGTGTGAACATGTTTTTTTTCTGAGATAAATACCCAGAGTGCAGTTGCTGAATTATATGGTAGGTACATGTTTGATTTTATAAGAAACTTCCAAATAGTGTTCCATTGTGATTGTTCTATTTTTATTTTGCATTTTTCACCAGAAATAGATGAGTCATCCAATTTTTCTGTGTACTCACCAACACAATATTTTATTTTGGCCATTCTGATAAGTATATAGTGGTACCTCTTTGTGGTTTAATTTGCATTTTCCTGATAGCTAGTATATTAAACATCTTTTCATTTGTATTAGTATTAGTTTACCAGGGGAGCCATAACTAAATACCATAGATTGTGTGGGTTAGATAACAGAAATTTATTTCTCACATCTTTGGAGGCTAGAATTCAAGATCAAGATGCTGTCAGATTTGGTTTCTGACCAGGTTTCTCTTTCTGGCTTTCAGATGCCTGCCCACCCACTGTGTCCCCATATGACCTCTTCTTTTTATGTGTGCAGGTAGAGATATCTCTGGTATCTCCTTCTTCTCTTGTATGGACACCAGCGTTATTGGATTAGGGCCACACTCTCATGTCATTTAATCTTAATTACCTTCCTAAAGGCTCTGTCTCCAAATACAGTCACATTAGAGGATATGGCTTCAACATAGGAATTTTGGAGGGAACATGTTTGATCCATAACAGTGTGCTTATTTTGCTCTGTGTATTCTCTGGTGAAACATCTATTCATATCTTTTGCTTATTTTCTAATTGGAATGTTTATTTTTTTACTATTGAGCTTTGACAATTCTTTATATACTCTAGATACTGGTCCTTTTCCAGATATGTGGTTTGTAAATATTTTCTCCCAGTCTTTTTATCCTCTTCACAAGGTCTTTTGCAGTGCAAAAGTTTTACTTTTGGTGAGATTTATCAAGTTTTCTTTGGCTAGATCATGCTTTCATCAAGTCATAGAACTCTTTTCCTAGCAATAGATCCTGAAGATTTTCTCCTATGCTTTTTTCTAAAAAAAGTTTTGTAATTTTATGTTTTATAATTAAGACCATGATTTATTTTGTGTTAAATTTTTTGTAAGGTGAGATCTAGGACAAAGATGTCCAATTGCTCCAATACCATTTGTTTAAAAGGCTACCTTTCCTCCAGTGAATTGCTTTTATATATTTGTCAAAAATCAGTTGAACACATTTGTGTTGCTTTATTTCAAGGTTCTCTGTTCTGTTCCATTTAAATATTTGTCTGTTCTTCCACCAATACTATACAGGTTTGATTACTGTAGCTATAAAATAGACCTTCATATTAAAAGTAGAGTAATTCCTCCTACTTTTTTCTCTTTGAAGATTGTTTTAGTTCTAGTTTCTTTACCTTTCCATATAAAATATAAAATAAGCTTTTCTGTAAAACGTATTGCTCAGATTTTAGGAATTGCATTAATCTATATCAGTTTGGAGAGAATCGACATCTTTACTATGTTGGGGCTTCCAATCCATGAGCATGGTATGTCTCTCCATTTATTTAGCTCCACTTCTTTGATTTCTTATATTAGCATATAGTAATTATCAGCATACAGATCTTGTACATGTTTTGTTCATTTATACTTAAATATTTCATTTTCTTTGGAGTGATTATAAATGCAATAGTATTTTAAATTTTGGTTCCCATGTGTTCATTGTGAGTATGTAGAATGCATTGTTAGTGTATAGAAATGCAGACAATCATGGTATCTGCAAATAAGGACAGTTTTTTTTCTTCTTTACTATTTAAACCTTTTATTTCTTTTTCTTGCCTTGTTGTAGTGGTTAGAACTTCTATGATATGTTGAATAAGTGTGGTGGGAGTGTACATCTTTGTCTTGTTCCTAGTCTTAGAGAGGAGGCATTCAGTCTTTCACTGCATTAAGTATGATGTCAGCTGTAGATTTTTGTAAATGTTCTTTAGTAAGTTAAAGAAGTTCCTCTCTTTTCTTAGTTTGCTCAGAGTTTTTATCATGAATGTATATTATCTTGTTAAATGTTCATTCTGTGTCCTTTGATATTGAGAGATATTGGTATGGAATTTCTTTTTTTGTAATGTCTTTGTCTGGTGTTGGTATTATATTAATGCTAACCTCATAAAATGAATTAAGAAGTGGTCCTTCCTCTTTTATTTTCTGGAAGAGATTGTGTAAAATTTGTGTTAATTCATCTTTTAGATGAATGATAGATATCTGATAGAATTCTATAATGAGACCATCTTGGCCTGGAGATTTCCTTTTTTGGTAGCTTTTTAAATACAAATTCCATGTCTATAATGGTTATAAGACTGCTCAAGTTATCTATTTAATCTTGGTTGAGTTTTGGTAGTTTGTGGTTTTCAAGCAATTCTATTCCAAGTCAATAAATATTTGAAGGCATTGTTTATAGTATTCCTTTACTGTCCTTTTTTACAAACTGACATGTAGTTGGTATACAATCTTATATTGGTTTCAACTATACAACACAGTGGTTCAACAGCTACCCATATTATTAAATTCTCACCACTTGCTTACATGGGTTAGGGAAAGAGTATGAAAGAACAGCTGTCTGCTTCACCCTAGCCTTGCTGAAACTGTAGAATGTGGAGGTATGGTTTCACACTTGATGTTTGGCTGGAAACTTGAGAATGTTTTGTGTTGTTTAGTCACCCTTTCCTTGATCACACTTTTCTTTGAGCTTCTCTTCTCTTTTATTTTTTGGTCTATGTCTCTTGGCAGTTTTAGGTTGGAGACTTCTATAGCACCTCATTTGGAATATATGGGAGATAATAAGGAAACTCAGGGATCACTTTGCCTTGGTGTTTCCCAAGTCCTGAGGTGCCTAGGTCATCTGCCATCTTCTTTCAACCTTTCAGAGTATTCCTGTACTTGTATTATTATCAGGGATTCTTAGGTATAAGAGGGAGGACTTGGGAATAACAGGGCTACTCCATCTTAGTTGTGACCTTTGGTTGATAATTTTAGTCAAATTAAATATTACTTTAAATAATTAACATTTTTAAAGTAATTGATTAAATTCTCACAAAGTCAATAATTAGCTCATAAAAGTCAGTAGTTGTGTAAATCCATCTCTACGTGCCTGTGAAACATTTCCTCTCTGACTTTTCTTCTGGTCATACCAAACTGAGACTGTTCATGGAGATTTACGCAGCAGTAGGCTAGGCCTCTCCATGAGCAAACAGACCTAAGAGATCTGTTGATCATAGTTGGCTGTTCTTACAAATCAGGTGAGCCATACAAGTCAAGTCTAGAGCAGTCAGCCCAAGGAAGGGGCATGGGTAGGTGCCAAGGGTTCAGAGAGCCAGATTGAGTCCATAGTCTGTGATTAATATAGGGTGTGTTTCTGAGTTGATAAATGAAGAGAGTTGGAGGAAATATGCATACCTGCCTGGAATAGAGGGTGATAGGGCAAAAAAGGCAGTTTTGTTAGTCATTATCTTCCTCTGCCAAACTTACCTCCCACATAAACCAGTTATATTAGTTAGGAAGCATTCTGCAGCAAGTGGCTTTAAATGGACAAGGGTTTATTTGTTTCTTGAATCAAGAAGGGGTATAGTCAGCCCAGCCCCTTTCCATCTCTCTCTTCCTCAGTGAGTAGGCCTCCAGTCTTGTGCTACTCTTCTTGCCATCTCCAGATGGCTTCTGCACTGCCAGACCTGTTCATTTCTAAGCAGGAATACAAAGAGGGGAACAGTCAGGGGAAATGCCTGTATTAGGAGATCAAATGCTTTCCCACAATTGCAGGGGAGTCTGGGAACTGACTGCAGGGAGTTGGCTCTCATTGCTACCTGAAATAGCATCAACTTCTGCTGTGAGGGAGAAGACACTAGCGGGCCTACTCACTGCACCATTCCATTTTCCTCCAGAAAATAACGTGTGTGTGCTTACTTTAGTTCATTGAGAGGAAGAGAAATAGTATCTCAAGAAAAGAAATCTATCAAGGACTCCCTTTTTAAAAGGTCTTGTCTTCTGTCATGTCTTATGCAGGCTCTGCTTTTTCCATTTTTGCAGTACTATCTGGTGTTTATGGAAGTAGTGTAAGAGGCATTCATATTAAAAATGTTCAGGAAAACCTAATTTTGAATAGTCAAAATTTTATAGAACAAAGAACTGTAGTTCTCATGGGGCAAGGCCTCCTTCCCAGGGAATCATTTCAAATCTCCAGGAGCCTTTTCAAGACTTTACCCCTCCCTAAGATTCCAAGTTGTCCTTTTTGGACAGAGTGAGCATATCTGCAGTGAAATGAGAGCTGTTACTGATAGAAGTGTAATTGGGCATATCATGGGGAAGGCAGGGAAAAAGCGTAGAGTACCATTTGGAAAAGAATTTTATTCTTTTTCAGGACACTGAAAAAATGGCTCCAATAGACATAGGGTTGTTAACAATTTAAACCTAGATGTTCATGTTACATTTTCCTTTGTCTATATATAAATTTATTTACTGAATAATTTATTGTGTTGATATTTGTACCATGCATTACTTAAACTCTGAGAAATCTAAACACGTTTTTTTTTCACACCAAGTAGTTCTAGGACCAGCTAATCTTATCTTTTCATTTTCCTCCCCACCAGCACCAGATTGTGTTCCAGACCAAAGTCCTTAGGTATAGAGTATATGTTTTTCTTTATTTCTCTTCTCTGTGGACATGCGCAAACAGTAACTAGAAGTTGACAGGTGTTTTTGCTATTGGTATCAATAGTGTTTGCACTGGTTTCCTCATTACTAGATCTGGCAAGGTTATGGAGACTGATATTTATTCAACAAAATTGATAGACCTATGTATAGATGTGTATCTTTTATTACCAGTATAACTTTGAAAGCTCTTCTGTGTATCACTATGTTGTTGCTATAGCAACATGATTACCAAAATAAGGCACATTTTTTCTGCTTTGTCTTTTTTTTTTTTTTAATTTCAAGAGCTTGGTAAATGCCTTTGCAAAGAGTACAAGATATTTCAAAGTGTAGGTCCAACCTCAAAAAATTGTATTGCATTCTCTCATCAGCTAGATCAGTTTGAGAATGCACGGATGAAGTTATAGTAGTCGATCTTGTCTTCTCCATGAGAGCACATCCTGATCAGCTCCTTAATCAGGGAATCATCAGCTGGGAGGTTAAGAGAGTCACAGATTTTAAAAAATGTCTCTTTGTCCACATATCCCGATGCTTCCTTGTCATGTACTTGAAATGCTTCGCGAATGTTGTCTGTGCATGGATGATCTTTCAGTTGCTTCTGGATTGTATCTATTAATGCTTCCAGTTCTTGCACGCCTGGATCCTCTTCAGTTTGATTGCTTTCTAAATCTGGTGCAGGAGTTTCTCGCTTATGAATATGGTTCTGAATTGACAAGAGTGCTTCTGGTGAAAACTGAGCAGTATTGCTCTCCATGTACTTCACAACATAGTCGTCTGCATCAAGGATGATGAAGCAGTGGCCAAACACCTCAATCACAGCACCAATGAAGAAGTCACTAGGGCCATAGTAGACAGGGTTTTCCACAGAAGAGTATGGTTTAACAACTTTGGTTCTGCCAAGGTACTTGCCCCCAATGATACCAGAATTGCGAACAGGAGCCTCAAAGATACTTACCATGTCAGTGGCTACAAAATAAGAGAAGACAAATCGGCGGTCTTTGTCTTCTGGGATGGGGGATTCCAGGGCAGCCATATAATGAAGGACCTTGTTATCATTCATCAGCATTTTAAGAACATCTCTTTTTGGAGGTTTTGGAATGAGAGCAAAGCAATTTTGAGCAGAGTCTTCAACTAATCCATAACTGTTATAGGGAGGCAATTCCTGTTTTACAGGAGGTGGTTCCTTCTTGCTCATGTCAATGCGTGGTAAATCGGAGATTCCAAACTTTTCTTTGTAACACTGTCGAGTAAATGGGTCACAATCATAAATGAAAAAAGTTCTCCCAAGGAGAGTGACTGGTTTCCCAACAATGAAGTCTTTGGCGGTGTACCATTCCAACACCTCTTGATCAGAGATTTCCAGCACACACTGAGGGAAGTTCTTTGCATTCTCCACGAAAACCTTAGGTATATGCTAGCGGTTCATCAGGAGTGGGACGGGATCTCTCCCATTATTTCGTTCATGGACTTCTTGAATTTCCACTGTATCATCCATAAGATAGTAACGAATGACATAGGTCCGACATTCCCCAAACATGCTGTCTGTATCATCCCAGATTGCATAGAATCGAAGAACTTGTTTGTCAAAGGTGAGAAACTGCTTGAGTTGATTAAAGTCTGATGGAGTGACATATTTATGGAGAGGCTGTTTCCGGAGTTCAATGTAAGGATCGAGAGCCATCTTCTCTGGTGGATTTAATTCAATCCCTTGGCTTTCCAAAAACACCCGTGTGAATCAGTCACAGTCAACAATTGTGGAAAGTTTTGCCATAAATCGTAATGTCTATTCCTCGGTTTAGGTCTTTCCAGTGGTAATGGTCTTCCTGGTAATTCTTGGGTAGCCGCTGACGTTTGATTAACTTGCCTTGAGGAATCCCAGAGTTTTCCACAACAGGCTGTATGATAGACTGCTGTCATCTTCTAGGTAGTAGTAAATGTTCACGTGATGGATCCTGCAATGCTCTTCATTTGACATGGGAACAACTTCCTGGAAGTAGGCATCAAATTTCAGGACCTTTTTGTCAAAAGCCACATGTGCAGGAATAAAACTGGCAGGTGGGGCCTGCTTAGGTTGGCCATAAGTTAGAACTGGTGCCTTATTGGCCAACTCATCCACATCAGCTTGGGACAGCTGGTTGATCTGGAGCCGGCCCCAACTGTTGGACGTCTAACAATCGCATAGCGGTTCCTGTAGCCCAACGTCTGGCTTCTATGAAATGCTGTTTTCGTGGAGTCCGTAAAGGACATGCCCGGGAGAAAGGGCAGGCCGTGCACAGGTTTGGACACCATCTCAGCAGTTAGCGTCGCCGCCATCACCTCTGTCCGGTTTGGTCGTCCCCGGTCGGCCGGGCGACGAGCGGCCTTTGTCGGCCCCTTGAAGCTCCATGGTAACGCCAAACAACCGGAGCGACTGCGCGAGGAGGGCGGGGCCCGAGGGGTAGTAGTAACGGATGTGCGCGTGCGCCGCATGCGCGACTCCGCTCTGCTTTGTCGTTTTAAAGGAGACTTTTTCGCCTAAGCTTTTTAATCACAATTGTGGAGTTTTTGTACCAGACATTCAGTACTCTTTCTAATTATCTTTTTTCCTTGAATTTCCCTTACTTAAAATAGCTATTTATAATTATAACCTAAAAGTTTCATTGGACTAAATCCTAGTGGGAATTACAAAAATGAAGGGAAGCAATGTACGATATGGTAAAAACAGTAGAAGCCCTCATAATCTTTTTGTATCTTTCCTTCTTCATCTATAAAGTGGTCAGAGAACATCTACTTCACAGGAATGATATTCATGTTACTCTGTACCTGCCAGGAACTCATTTTTGTTTCACTTTCCTCGCCTTCTCCTTTTTTTTCCTTTCCATGTTTTTAAGGTAAGGTTAATAGCATACATTCCCTCCTAGCCCCACAGATGTATTTATATTCCCACTTTCCTTGGATGTCTAAATATGTTTATTGTGTAATATTTAAAGAGAAGTTCGTGGGTCTAGAAAATATCCTGATCTCAGCTCTGCCACAACAATTAATTCTAGGTTGATTGGGGTTTTAAAACACCTAGTCCAGCTTCGATTATGTCTACAGACTGTTTCTGCTCAGGGGAGTAGAGATTTTTTAGAAAACATAACTTTAGAACTTAATTGTTACTTTTATTTATTATACTCCTTCTTTCCAAAAAGGATATGAAGTATTTTAAAAGAACATAATAAAATTAACAACACGGGGGAAAAAAGGAAGGACTTGTTGTCCCACAAATCCTTTTACCTGAACTTCAGGATTTCTGTGCTCAGCATTTTTGTAGGAGTAGAAATGGAGTTGCAGTTGGGGAGAGGGTTTTATTTATTTGGCTTGGCTGTTTATTTGCTTAGGCAAGGCTGACTTAAGCTAGAAGAAATCTACAAGAGATCTACCAGAGCTAATCCAGGAGCGCAGTTAGGCCCTAGTGAGAACCTGCGCTGTGTTTCTGAACCAATTCTAACAGGCAGTATAGGTGGATACCCCTCTAATGCTGCTGTTCTTTCAGTAGGCAGCAAACTATTCTAAAGAATGCAGCCTCAGCTTGCTTTCGTTAGCTGTCTGTATCCTCATCCCTCCACCCACCTCCTTACTGCTTCACTTGCCACTAGGCCTCAACAAACAAGTCAGAGCATATTGTTTTAGCTTAGGAATAGGATGATTTTTATTTGTTGCAGTTTTGAATTAATATATCATCTTCATAACAGTGTGCAATTTATGCAGATTCTTTATATATATTTATAAATATAATATGTACATATTACAGACATCTAAATATGATATCTATCATTTCTATATCACTATCACAGTGATAGTGAAGAAGCCAAACCAGTATGGCTATGGCAAAAGATGACATGAAAGCACTTGTTCTGAAGGAACAGAGCATACCTTGAGCTTTTTCATGTTGGGATGAAGAAATCCAACTGTACAAAAAGCCATCCACTATTATCAATAGACAGGGTTTGTTTGAGTTAGAAGCACTGTGGGGAAGCTGACTCTGGAAACAATGTGAAGAGCTCAACAAGAAATTTTCTTTTTTCATGTGTTACTTGCCTTGGTTTAAAGTAACTGAAAAGGTGGTGAGAATTGAAAATTCTTTCCATCAACCAAACTGCCTCCACATATGAAATTATTAATTTGGACAGTCATCCATTCTTTGTTTATAGCCTCCTCACTTTCCAATTTTATCAGTTTCATTGTGGCCTGAAATCTACTGATGCCCTTACCTTCTCTCTCTTTTTCTGTTATCACTTTTTTCCTATCCAGCTTGGCACCCCTGGTCTGTGGTATCAACCATTCCCTTGACAGTAACATAAAGTCCCTTGTCCCATTATCCTTCCATTATCAGTCTGGAAAACTCATGTGGATGATTCCAGCTAACCACACTGTTTGTATTGGTGTGCTGCCTGCCAGGAACTTGATACAACCTATGACTTCCTCTTTCTATAATGTTTTTTACCTTCTCTTTCTCTACAAACTCCTTCCTTTCCAGCAGCATTTCCACAGGACTCTTGAAACAAATCAACCAAAAACTTCATTCAATCTGAGGCTTCTTCCAGCTACTGCCTTAGTTCCCACCTTCTTTTCTTGTATTATCTGGACTTACTGTCTCCATTTTCTCACTTCTACACACAACTCAGCTCACTGGACTCTGACTTCATTCACAATCATTTCAAAGAAATGTTCTGACTCAGGTCATCAGTTCCTTCCATTCTACTAAATCTAAAAAATATGTTAGTTCTTTACTTTTCACTTATTAGCAGCATTGACACAGGGTTTTACTCCTTCTACTCAAAATACTCCTTTTACTTCTATGATATCATAGTCTTCTGGTTTTTGTGTGGCCTCTTATGATACCTTTTGCTCCTTATTTTCCCTCCCTGGCCTCTCCACTTCATCCTGCTCTATACATACTGGAGGCTTTCAGGGCTCTGCATAGCTTTCTTCTATTTTCATTTTACTTATTCTCTTCATTTTCCAGTTGACTTACCCAGTCCCTAGGCTTCAGTTACCCACTTTGTGCTGTCTTGTGACTCTCCACTTGCACTTCTAACTTCTTCTCTGAGCTCCAAACTAATCTATTCACCTCTTTGTTCACCACCACCACCTGGCTGTATCATAGCTTCAACAATGCCCCAGGGTGAACTGGTCACCTTCCCTCTACATCTGCTGCTCTGTGTTCTTAACTTCTGGAAATGTTATTCCCATCACCACTATGCAGCATTAAGGTAGTGTTGAGGGTCTGTTCTGCAGTCAGACTGCCTGGGTTTGCATCTTGGCTCCACAAATTATTAGTGCTATGGACTTAGGAAAATTACTTAAATATTCTTTGCCTCAGCTTCCTCATCTTTGAAATGGAAATAGTAATGCTACATGCATCACAACATTATTCTGAGTATTAAATAGGGTTGTTATGAGGTTTTTATATATATGTAAATTTAATAAAATATGTGAACTACTTCTGTAACAAGATGTAATTATGATTATCATCAATTCTGGGATTCTTCCTATTTTATCACCTTCCTCCTGAATATCTATTGAATCTTCCCATATGTCTCTCAATCCATACAGCCACCATCCTGGTACACTCTGTTTGGCTCTCTAAAATAATCTCCCTACATGGACATGCTGCCCATTTCTAGTTTATTCTTTACTCTGCAACCCAGGTGATTGTGTCCAAACACATGTCTGACCATTATACTCCACTGCTTTGTCTGTCACAGGTTTACGTTGTTTTTAGAATAAAGTGCAAAATCTTTATGGTTTGAGACTGTATGATCTCTGGCCTTTGATTATGCTTCCAGCCTTTCTTTGTTTCAGTAAATTTAGACTTTTTTGGTTTTCTAAAATGTACCATACTCTCACCTCACCTCTGACCCTTTGAATGTACTGCACCATCTGCTGGGGACTTTTTCCTGTTTCACCTTCTTTTCTCTACTTTCTTTTGCATGTCTTAGCTAAAATGCAGATCCTCAGGAAGGAATTCCCCCCAACCCCTGATGAAGTCCTAATGCATTCTTTGTTTTCCATTTTATAGTGTTCTTCACTCTTACAATTATTTGTTTAATGTTTGCATTCCTGGCTATAATGTAAGTTCCATGAAAACCAGTCTTATTCTTTGCTTTATCTATCCCCAGCACCTAACACAGCATACTAGTGCTCCAGTGTGTTTGTCAAACTGATAAATGTATGAGCAGATATGAAGCAGATTCTTCACTCTGTTGTATGCACTAGAGTTGACTTTTTGCTGTTGATTCTTGAAAGACCAGACACTCATTTTCTCCGCCTCATCTACAGTTAAGGGTGAATTTCTGTGAAGGTTTTGTCAAATTAGATGTAAGTGAAAATTTTCTGGGGGTTGTGGGAAGTTTTGTACCACTCCTTCCCTTTGTTGCTCTCTTGTTGTTCTTCGTACCTGAAATTCAGAGGACATGTAGTCTATCTTGGTGAATATTCTGTGTGAGCTTGAGGAGGATGTGTATTCTGCTCTTGTTGGATTCAGTAGTCTGTAGATGTCAGTTGTATCAGTGGTGATGGTGGTGTTGAGTTCACCTATGTTCTTGCTGATTTTCTCCCTACTGATCTATCCATTTCTGACTGAGGGGTGTTCAAGTTGCCAACTACGATAGTTGATGCATCTGTTTCTCCTTGCAGTTCTATCTAATTTTGGCTCTGGTAGTTATGTGCACATACAATAAGAATTGTTATGTCTTCTTAGAGAATGAACCCCTTTATCGTAATTCTCTTCCTTATCCCTGATAACTTCTCTTGCTTTGAAGTCTGCCCTGTCTAAAGTTGATATAACTATCCTGCTTCCTTTTGATTACTGTTCACTTATCGAAATGGTATTTCCTTCCATCTATTTTATTTCATCTATATGTGTCTTTATATTTAAAGTGGGTTTCTTGTAGATAACATATAATTGGTTCATGTTTTTTGATTCACTCTGATAATCTCTAATCTCTGTCATTTAACTGATGCACTTAGGCTTTTGACATTCGAAGTGATTATTGACATTCGAAGTGATTATTGACATAGTTGGATTAATTGCTACCATATTTGTTACTGCTTTCTATTTATTGTCCTTATTCTTTGTTCTTATTTTTGTCTCCTATTCTTCTTTCTGTCTTTGTGGTTTTAATTGTGCACTTTATATGAATCAATTTTCTCTTCTTTCTTAACGGATCATTTATACTTGCATTTTTACTTATTTAGTGGTTGCCCTAGACTCTGCAATATACATCTACAACTAATCCAAGTTCACTTTCATATAACTATGCCACTTCACAAGTAGTATTGTGTTTACCTTATAACAATAAAATAATCCTGATTCCTTTCTCCCATCCCTTGTACCACTGCTGT